TACTGCAGAATCCTAGCAGGACACCCTACGAAGACTTAAAAGCTCGCTTACTTAACACTTTCGAGGAGAGCGAAAGTGTCAAAGTGAGGCGGCTCCTTGAGCAGACCACTATTGGGGATGAACGGCCGTCTCTCTTCCTTCGTTCCTTAAGACAGAAAGCTGGGAACCTCGTCTCAGAGGAACTACTACGGAACCTGTGGCTCAGAGCCCTTCCAAAACGTATGCAAGAAATCCTCGCTACCGTTGATGTCGCAGACCTCGACAAGCTATCAATAACGGCAGATAAGATAGCTGAAGTCGAGGCTTCGAACATTTACGCCGTCGAGAGCGTAACACCAACAAAAAATTCTGCCGTAGACAGAGATGCTGTGGGATGAAACCAGCGACAATCCTAGTCTAATGCACGATAATTCTTGTCCACATGTCGCTCGCATAGTACAAACCTTCAACAGCATAACATCAGGGTCTTAGCCTGGCCAGCCCGTTCTCCAGACTTGAACCCTATCGAACATGGGATAACCTCAAAAGACGAATAAGCGCACGTCCATCACTTCCTGATCCCCTCCACAATCTTGAACAGACGCTTTGTGAAGAATGGGCTAACCTCCAGCAAGAGACATTTCCAGACTGGTAGAATATATGCCGAGACGTCTTCGAGATGTAATTAAGGCAAGAGGAGGAAATACGCGATATTGAAATGTTAATTAAAAATCTAATTAAAACTAATTTTATCTGTCCGACCTTTTTTCATTTTCCTTAGCAATTTACTTTTTTTTTTTATTTTTTAGACAAAAATTCAATTATTAAACGTTCAAAGACGTGAAACTTTGATTAATATATAAAAATATATACAAATCAAGTTATATTACAAGTGGGTGGAATTTTTTGCCTGTCAGTGTATGAACTATAGATCTCACGAATAAATGTCACAAAGAGTGCCTCGTAATCTTATCAAAAAACGAAAAGATCTTACAGGAAAGTCCTACAAGGAAACTCACGTTTAGAAAGTAAACCAATCGATATAATAAATGTGGTAAAGCAAAGTTTAGGAACTTTCCGTCGAAAATGTTGTTTATAAACAATGGCCGGGGGAGGGGATAAAACAAATTATCCACGCCGGTTAGTTTGCATTGCCTTTGGAAATTGGATGTAATAAGAGAGGGAATTGAATCTTCGGATTGCGACTGAAATAACCGAGGGGGGAGAGAATCCTCCGGTTTCGATTAGCTCCTTTCCGTTTAATCGGGGTTCCCCGGGAGCCGCAATGAGCGAAATGATTACCTGCCGGTGTAAGTTTTTGTTGGCCGAGCTGTGGACACGACTCCACGCCTTCTGAGCAGCCTCGGAGCCGAGCGAAACCCCGCGGACCGTGAAATTGGCTGCGACCGAATTAGCGCGCCCGGTTCACGACCCTTAAACTAACGCATACTGCATGAAGAGCTAAAGGCCATGTTCTTTGTCGCATAAATAATTCTACTGCATTAAAACTAAAACATCTCAGAATAATCAACATGTTTTTTAAATGAGCTTAAATAATGATTGGTTTTATTATTTTATTATGGGCATTGAGTGATGTAAATTATACAGTCAATTTAACTTTATTACCGAGTTGAGTTATTTTTTGAATTTTAATTTAATAAATTTATTAGCGAAAAGTACAGTAGTACAGTAAGAAAAAACATAAATAGAGAAAAAATTAAGGATAAAATAATAAAACCATAAGTAAAAGTAAGTCATTTAACCAATCTGCACATTTTCGCCTGTCACATAAAAACAGTGCTTGTAGCAGATGGCAGGAGTTATGTCAGTGAGCAAAATTGCTAAAAATTAAATCAAAAGGACTGAGAAGGTGTATATGATCAAATAAATGAAGGAAAAACAAAATAATAAAGAGAGAAAACAAAACTGCAATAAATTCAAAGATAAAATAGAAATTAAAGAATACCATAATTGCTATGATGCCAACTATACCACAAAGAAAGTTCAAATTATAAATTTAAAATTTTTACATTAATAAATTTTTTGAAATCATAATAAGAATTAAATTTGTTAAAATTAATTTTATGATTATAAAGAAACCTAAAAACTGCATTTAATGAAAAATTGAAATAAAAATTAGTGTTTTTGGATATAAAAATATTAGTCGCTACTTTTTGTCTTGTTTGATACTCATCGTTTGATTCAGCAAAAAGGTTAATTTTAAAGACATACATACAAGAACATTTTAAAAACAATTGTTTAAATTTTAGAACCTCAAAAATGTCATATAGTTGATTGGTATTAAATCTAAAAGGTTTAGAAAGAATAGTTCTCAAAAGTGAATTTTGAGTTATGATTAATGGATTTAAATAACAATTACTGGTTCCACCCCATGTAACAATACCATAGCAAATTATAGACTGAACCAAAGCATAACAAACTGATTTTAACAATTTTAAATTTATATAAATGATAAATGATGGAGTGAGTGTGGTGTTCAATCCTTTTAAAAAGATAGTCGGATTTCGAGCCCTTTAGGTCATCATCAGGTTGAAGGACTTCTATAAAAATAATATATTTCTATAAAATAATAGAATTTCTATAAAAATAATAACAAATAGAACAATTATAACAACAAATTATTAACAAATATAATATATTATATAAAATTATTTTAATTGTTATTATTTTTGTAATAATTTAATAATATTAAGGTATCATTCTAATTTTCTATCTTTTATCTTTAATCACTAATTTATAATTAATTTCTTACAGTATTTACTATGATAATATTTATTTGTGTTATAATTTCCGCTTTTCGCACGTTCAAATTGAGCACCATTAAAAAACCGGCTGTTAATTGGGACGTCGCGTTGGCGGGGGTATCAGCGGGTTCACTTTTGCAATTCCTGTCGAGAGACGTGGTTGTAGAAGTCCTTCAACCTGATGATGACCTAAAGGGCTCGAAATCAGGATCGTTGCAAAACAACTTAGGAACTATCTTTTTAATAGGATTTTAAATTTAAGATCTTTCTTAATACACTGAATTTGTAAAGGAGTTTTCTCAATCGTATAACCAAAGAATCAATGTGTAACTTAAAATTAAACCTAGAGTCTAATATAACTCCTAAATATTTAGTATTATTTGGAATTGGTAAGGGGGAACAGTTACAGTTAAATTAATTAATACATGTATGGAAAAAAATTTAAAGCTCTTTAAAACTAATCTTTTACTTAATGCAAAATGTAAGACATTGGATTTATATATTTATTTAAAATTAAACAGAAGATAGTCATGCTTTAACAAGTCTAAGATCATTGTTAATAGACATAATCAAATTATTAATTATCCTTCCAGAAAAAATCAAGTAAGTATCATCAGCATAACTAAAAACTTTTCCAGATATTTTCAATTTTAAAAGATCATTAATATATAAAAGAAAAAATAGGGGACCTAAAACCGTACCTTGAGGGACCCCAGAGACGATAGGCAATGGATTAAATAGACTGTTCCAACTTTTGTTATTTGAGTTCTACCCACAAAATAAGACTCGATAAGTTTAAAAGGAACCTCAACAATTCCTATTAATGTTAATTTTTTTAATAACAATTGATGATCGACGGAGTCAAAAGCCTTTTTTAAATCTAGAAAGATCCCAAAAACATGATAACCTTTATCCAATTCTTTTGAAATATTGAAAAATGATTATTCAGATATCGTGATCGTATCTGGTGTGATGTAGGTTTCGGAAAAACATTTTCTTTATCGTGCCAACGTTTTGATCTTTGTCGAGATCATCTTCAGGGCCTGGGATTTACAATCATTGTTTAAATTTAACAAATTTTGACTAACGGTCTAATCACTACACATATTGAAAAATATAATATGAGTTATGATCATAAGTTCTGCAATAAAATTATTTTCCTCTCTTTAAACATTTTATAATCGATTTATATGTCTAATAAGCGTTGTAAAACATTGTTGTTTCCTGGGAAAAGGACTTACTTTTTTCCCTCGGGGAACAACAAGTGGAGGTAAATAAACCTTTTCCCCATATTGTTTATTGGATACCCTGGATCTCTTATACTGATTGTTTCACACCCTCCGCCTCCTTATTCTTCCGCAGGCCACAACATCTGTTAGACGTCGTCTCTTTAGATTTGTCTCCCTTTCACGGGCCGTCTAACCTCGATTTTTCTCCCGTTGGTAACCAACCCTTTAGCCTTTAAAACGAGACCTTTTTTTTGTACCATTTTCCAATGGAGTATCGTGACGTTTTTCCGCGGTATAAAATGACCGCATTTATCCCCTGGCTCGGAGAGAGAGAGAGAGAGAGAGAGAGAGAGAGAGAGAGAGAGACGATAAATTCTATTCCGTATCGGCCTTTATGAAAAATGGAAAAACCAGCCTTTTTCCCTAGGGTAAACGGCGCCTGTAACCACAATCGAGGCTGGAACAAATCTCATGGGATAATATTTAAAATTCTAAGGGTCGGTTTCTTCCGCATTTGGACTTTACACGGTCCTAGTGCTACTTGAATTTTTAACGCCTTCATTCTATTTCAAATCAAACTCTCATTAACATCTTTAAGTTTAGTTCTTCTTCAAGCACTACGAATCGTTTCTAACAGGTTCCAATACAGGTTATTCTTCATCTCGACCGTTGGTCACTGGTGTTCCTCAAGGTTCAATTATTGAACCATTGTTATTTTTACGTTATAAAAGATCCTGCTTTAAAACCTTCCGTTCTAATCTACAATCCCACTCTAATCCTTACGTACGTCAACTTTCCTCCTGATCCGCTTGATTTTCACCCATAATGCTTATGACATATGAAATGTATATTATATAATATATTACAATACATAACATATTTTAAGGGTTCTAACACTGGAAGCTTCTCCACTCTATTTACTGTCATGTTCTATCAGAGATCTATTTGCCTTATTGCGCTTTGCGCAGATTGTTTTACGATTTTAAATACTTAAATAAAAACATTTTTCGATCGTCTTTTGTTTCAGTCCTGCGAGACGACTTCCGGTCCGTTCCCGTCGGGACGAGAGTGGCAGCGGGGGAGACAGCATTGCTGGAATGTGGCCCTCCCAAGGGCATCCCGGAGCCGAGCCTCCTCTGGAGGAAGGACGGCCAGAACATCGATTTCGAAAGTTCTGACAGGTAAGCCCCATCCGAATTCAAAAGACTAACTAATTCCAATCAATCCCTCCGGGGGATGTTCATTTGTTTCCCCGACTCGCGCGAGTTTAGTTAATTTGTGACTAGAGTGTAATGTATGTATTTTTTACGGTGACAGGTTGAGGGTGGTTGATGGGGGAAATTTAATGATAAGAGAGGTCAAACCGAGCGATGAAGGCAGGTACCAGTGCGTAGCGCAGAACATCGTCGGTCAGAAAGAGACCCAAGCCGTACCCTTGACTGTCCACGGTATTTCCAATCGAATCTTTTATCATTTTCAACCTCTAATTTTTCATTTTTTGTCCCAGTTAAACCGTTCTTTTCGAAAGAACCGTCCGACGTGACAGTCGTGGCAGATACGAGCGTGGAGCTGGATTGCAAAGTGAGCGGCGATCCGACCCCGAAGATATTCTGGAGGAGGGACGACGGAAAGATGCCCGTGGGCAGGGTGAGGATCACCGACGAGAAGAACCTGAGGATCGAGAGGGTTCAGCCGGAAGACGAAGGCGTTTACATCTGCGAGGCGTCGAACATCGTCGGTTCCATCACGGCCAAAGCCGCTTTGACCGTCCACTGTAAGCAATTTCGGAATCTTTATACAAACACTCGGACATTTTCTCCTCTTCACGGAAAAACATTTATTGTTGGACTAGCTTCTACCAGCGACTTCGTCCACGCCGGATTCTGTTTTAATATACCTTTCTAATACGATGCAGATTGCTAGCATGGCTTTCCAATATAATGTCTCGATTCACAAATCTTCTATTCTTCAGTTCACTTCGGTCAACATGGTAACAAGTTTTCCATATGATCCCCTTCAATTTCAAGAAATACTTTATTAGCGGCTATCCATGTCATTATAGGAATGCACTATCCAAATTTCAGCCCTTTTAATCCAACAGTTGGTCTGTGCATTGTCTGTCAGTTAGTCACAAACTGTTTTATATATAGAAGAAGATAGGGATGGAATTTCATGAAATCCTTTCTTATCGGCTATCCATGTCATTATAAGAATGCACTGACGAAATTTCAGTCCTTCAGATCCAGCTGTTTGGTCTGTGCGTTATCTGTCAGTCAGTCACGAACTGTTTTATGTATACAGAAACGTAAGCTACCCCATCCCTAACACTGACTCTACCTAACCTAACAGGTGCCACCAGTCCCTAATGGTAACAATACACCGACTTATCCTAACCTAACCACAAGTCCCTAACCAAAACCCAAGCCTTACGTAACCTAATCTGACCTAACCTTCAATCTCTAATCTAAACCTTGCCCTACCTAACCTACTTAACCACCAGTCCCTACTCTAAACTTAGTCTTTCTTCAGAACCAGTTCCTAACACTAACCCTAGCTAATTTATCTTACCTAACCACTAGACCTTAAATTTACCCTCCGCATACCTAATTCTAACCTTACTTAGCATTATGCGCACTCCTCGATAACGCGACATCGCAAAACCCAAAAATACATCCATCTTAAAAAGTGGAGTAATATGATATTTTTTGTTTTTCAAAGCTGCCCCGAGCTTTGTTGTGAAGCCGCAGGACAGGACGGTCTCGCTGAACGGCCTGGCAGATTTCGACTGCCTCGCCGAGGGAAACCCTAGGCCGTCCGTCTTCTGGACGAAAGAAGGCAGCCAGGTGCTTATGTTCCCAGGGAACTCGTACGGTCGTCTCGCCGTTAGCCAGACGGGCAAACTGAGCATCCACGGCGTCCTGAGGGAGGACTCGGGTTTCTTTGTCTGCTCGGCTCTCAGCGTCGCAGGATCCGCCACAACCCGGGCTTTTCTCCAGGTGAGTCTAAACTCATTTCTTGAAAAATGCGATAACCGTATTTAAATGAAAATTTCAGGTGAGGTCCGTGGGCGACGTGCCTCCTCCGATCATCGAGGTCGGACCCGTCAACCAGACCCTGCCCGTAGGGTCCGTGGCCGTCCTGCCGTGCCAGGCCTCTGGAGATCCACAGCCGAAAGTCAAGTGGTACAAGGACGGTGTACAAATAGCGCCAAATAGAAGAATTGTCTTTTTTGAAAACGGCACCCTTCAGATCGACGGTAAGCTTTATGATTCATGCAAAATTCTTTTTTAAAAAATGGGTTAGATTAAACCGACATAGAGAGCAATTTTTCCCCTCTTTTTGGTTTTCTCAGTATAAAGGCAAAACGACGTTGGAATGGACTGCCCCCTTCACTTTATATAACTTCTACTTAACTAAAAAAGAAAAAGACAGTCAGTAGAATAGTCAGAAGTAAAATAATGGAAAGTGACATTAGAGAAAAATCGTGGAAGCTTTTGAAACGTAGCTTTTTTTAATAAATAAGGCCGTTATCTGTGTAATGCATTAGCCGGTTGTGCCGTGGCGAAATTAACTTTAATTTGCGAGGTTCACCCAGTATTTACGCCCCTGTTTAACTTGCATTGCCTTGCAGCCTTTCTAATCTTCTTACCCCTTGCCCCCTTACTTATTTCCAGTCGTGAATTTAGCCTTTTTCCCGGTCATCGGCCGGGGCACGTAATTCGATTTAACACGCCGGTTGAATAGAGAAATTTCCGCTATCTCGATCAAAACTGGGAAATGGCCGGCAAGAGATAATTGTTTTAAACATCGCCGATGGGGACCGCGGTAGCCGAGTGGTTAGCATGAGAGACTCTCACGCCGCGGTCGTGGGTTCGATTCCCACCGTTGCCCNGCCTTTCTAATCTTCTTACCCCTTGCCCCCTTACTTATTTCCAGTCGTGAATTTAGCCTTTTTCCCGGTCATCGGCCGGGGCACGTAATTCGATTTAACACGCTGGTTGAATAGAGAAATTTCCGCTATCTCGATCAAAACTGGGAAATGGCCGGCAAGAGATAATTGTTTTAAACATCGCCGATGAACTGGGGGGGGGGGCGACCTCAAAACGTTCAACCTTTAATTCAAAAAGTTATGGCTAAGTACCAGCGACTAGAGTTCAGCCCCAATTGAGACTCGGCCCTGACCGGCCCTAGAAGATCTTCTATCAAAAGATTTCTTGTTGAAGTCAAAGGGTTTTCTTCTTTTCCTTAAACCCCGAAGCCCTAAATTTAAACCAAACGTACTATCTAATAAGAATTTTTGATCAGTGTTGCCAAAGAATAAAACGGGTGAAAAAGAGTTGGACTGTTTATGTCTGAAGAATTTCCTTTTTTTCTGATAGGGCAAAAGCCAAGGCTTGAACAATACGCACGGGTTCTCTTAAAAAAGATTTGGGATCTGACAAAAAGCCTAAAGATTAACGAAGAGGTCTAGATAATAATAGAGATTGCACAATTGGCCAATATTGGTCGCGGTACAGAAGGTCGTGTAGAAACAGACTCACTGTAACTTTAAACTCACTAGTTTTCGTGGTCAGCTTGACCAATTAATATCTTTCAATTAATTAAGGTTTTTAGTTGAGATAAAAAAGTCAGTCCTTTTCAAAAAAGATACTTCCTACTCACAGTAAGTTGTTTTGCAACGATCCGGATTTCGAGCCCTTTAGCTCATCATCAGGTTGAAGGACTTCTACAACCTGATGATGAGCTAAAGGGCTCGAAATCCGGATCATTGCAAAATAACTTACTGGGAGTAGGAACTATCTTTTCAAAAAGGATTGAACACCACACTCCCTCCATCATTCGTCATTTTTTAAAAAGTCAGTGTCACGAGCGGGATTCGAACCCACGACCTTCGGCTAGATACGCCGCTGCTCTAACCACTTGAGCTATCGTGACCTCGATCCACTCGGATACCAACTTCCCATCTCAACCCCACCTTTTATATTTTCCCTCCTTTTTGCCATTTTTCAAATGTCGTGTAATCTGTTTGATTATCGGGGACAAATGAAATGGCCATGGAGAGCTTTAGTGAAGTATACATCATTTTAACTTATTAAATTCACTAGTTTTCGTGGTCCTCTTGACCAATTTTTTATCTCAACTAAAAAACTTAGTTAATTGAAAGATATTAATTTACTAACTGTAAACGTTGAACCTTCATCCCAAAGCCCAACGTACTTACAAACGGGCATTTTGATCAGTGTTGCCCACAGTGTAACCAAAGTATGAGACGGAATGCCCACTGATTTTCCCTTTTTTTCTTGGAAGGAAAACTCAAGGTCTTTCTGATAGTTTAACATGTAGGTGTAGATATAGTTTCAGGGTATAGTATACTGCGCCCTTTAAGAGCTATTGTATCCCCCGTGCTCTGTCTAAAGCACATCGGTGAGTTTTATTTAATCAAGAAACTTGATTATCAGGCCCGGTTTCAGTGGTTGAAGCTATTTTATGGCCACATTATGCATCCCAAAACATTTCTTTCTGCGGGATAGTGTAGGTCCGCAGTTTGTTAGTAGATGTGTTGGTGTCTCTTCTGTCTCTTTGCAGAATCTGCACGTGCCATCTTGGATTATTCCAATTTTCTTTAAGTGTCCATTTAACTTCCAATGTCCTGTTAGGAATCCTATTAGGATTAGCAGTTTGTTCCTGCTTCCCGTCATTCTGTAATTTCTTTCCTTTCAAAATTGATTAGAAGATTCTTGGATTGTCTGTGTCCAATGAGTGAATTCCATAGTAACCTCATTTTCTTTGTGTCTTTCTGTCTGAGATACTCGTTAATAGTGTGGGTTCCTATGCAACAGAAGTGTTCAGATCCTGGCAGCTCCTTGCCTCGCAAGGGTGTCCGCTTTCTCGTTGCCTTCTACTCCCATGTGTCCTGGGACCCAGCAGAGGCTGACTTTATTCTGTGTACCTAATATGTTTAGTTTTGTTTTGCAGTTCAGCACTATCCTTGAACTGATGATATTTGAGCTTAGTGCTTTGATGACTGCTTAGCTATCTGACATGATAGCTATATCCTTGTTTTTGTACCCTTTACTTAGGTTGAGCTGGGTACATCTTTCGATTGCATGAATCTCAGCTTGGAAGATACTGGTGTTACCCATGGGTTCGGAGTACTGGTTCAAGGTCCAAATACTCTAGTTTAACATTAGCTATTACTTACTTTTATGGCTAGGAGTGGTTTGGGATAATACAATATTATAATTGCATATATTATATCTAAGTTTATATTAATATCACCATAGCTTGTGCTTGGACGTCTAACACGAACTCTAGCCAAAGTTAGATATGTTTGTACTTCCGGAGAAACAAGATATAGGCAGTAAAAACCTAACTATACGTTTAGTTTGTTGTAAACCGTTTGAGAACGGGTTCGATAAACCCAACCCTCGAAACACGTGGGCCACGTCGACTTTAGGTCTTTTCTATTTTTTATTCAAGCGCCTTTTCCTTCGCCTCCTCCACCTTTTCCAGCCTTTTACGGCGTAATAAACTTGTAGTTAACCGCCCATAAGGCCTCTCGCCTCGTGAGGCCCCTTCAACTCGCTTTGACGACTTTGTAAAACCGTCATTTACAACCGGACTGTAAATCTTGGAAGCCCAATTTGAAAAACACTTCGTAAAATAGGTAAAAGCCGAGAGCCGATTCCACTGTTCTACCTATTCACAACAGTGAGGTATACATTTTACCGTGAAAACTTTTGCATAACGTATTCATTAGATTTCCGCAACATATCACACATGCGGCGAACTTTATCGGTCTGTTTAAAATCAGTTTGCACAGGGTGAATAATTTCTTCTTTTGTTTTAAAACATTTCAACTTTATTTCATCAGAATAACAACTACCTTCTTCTTTTAATACAACAAATAAACATCTTGTTTTATCGACAATATTTATTTACGAAAACTATTTTGGAAACATTCATTAGAATTATGGAAGAGTGGACGTTTATCGCGGGTATGATGAAATAATAAATTTCTTGCCTGTATAATGCTGAGTTGCTCTTTTATGCTGCCAACTAATAAGAAACTTTTTCATTAAATACATTTATAAACGTAGGTTCTGTGTCAGTTTATTTGGAACGTCCGGTTATTTGGAGCGTCCGTTTGTGGAATCTCGACTGAATCTGGTTTGTATCTGCCACTAACCACACCTACCACAAACTATAGTGATATCTCCAGTTGTATTACTCCAAATCACCCTATCCAAGTTTTATCAATAATAATAATTGTACTATATACAAAATATTTCAGTACAAAAAAAAAACAAGTGATTGAAATAAAGACCAACACTTCCGCAACACTTGGAAGTCATACGGGTTTAGCCTATTGAAGTTTACTCTTTATCATTTATTCTTTTTTTTATTAAAATTAGTTTTTTAATCAATAATAATTAGTGCAGTCCAATTGCACAAATTTTACATACATCAATCAAAACACTTCTGTATAAAAATTAGCTTCATCCTAATCTGCAGCTAGAATGTCGTAAAACTGTAACTACATTATTCGGAAATCGTGAGATGCGGTCTGGTGTGATGTAGGTTTCAGAAAAACATTTTCTTTATCGTGCCAACGTTTCGATCTTTATTGAGATCATCTTCAGGGCCTGNTGTATGCGCTGACAACGTTATGTTGCCGCGTTGGAAGGGAATGAATTTTGCATAGTCTCGGAGAGTATGAGCTCCATAAAGCATATGGAGCAATTTCACCCGAACAGTATGATTATCTACTAGCGGAATCAATATACGTCATATGCGCCTCTGCAGAAAAAGGTACTGTTTTCCTGGTGTCGGGGACATTGTAGCATACGTGGTAATTAGGTTGTGGACCGATTGGCCAAAGAAGCGACCAAACACGGAGAGTATCATAAAATCAAGCTGCCAAAGACGGACGCAAAATGCCTCTTTGCCAAACAGTTGATACAAAAATGAAGGAGCACGTAGTACACCCAGTGAACTGTGTGTATACAAATCCATATTCCCGGAAATAGGATCAAAACCATGGTTCTCTGGAATTAATAGAACAAAATAATTTTTTTGCTTCGATATCCCGGATTCAGTGTATACGCTGAGAAATTTTGACCGTTTTGATGGGAAAGCTTGCTTTCAACAGGAAAGTGGACGTGTTTCATTGTTATACATATGCATTTTTGAAATACTATGATATTTATGTGTAATTCTGTGATATAGACTTTAGTGTCGTTGTACTGTGTGTTA